TCCTCAGAGGCGCTGCCTGGGAGGGACCGTTTGTGATTTCCACCTCATTGGAGGGCTGAGGGACCAGGTGAGGGGGGAGGATTGGTAGGGAGTCGGCGGTCGCGTTAGGTAGCCGGCCCCTATAAGGCTTCAGCTTGTCATAGTGGACGGTAAAGACGGGGTCTCCGGCCGACTGCGCATTATGTATGGTGTAAGTAGAAGGGGGAAGGAAGTCAATGACGACGAAGGGACCCTCCCACGGATAGAAGAATTTTGTCGAAGTCCTCACCGGTGGAGCTGGTCGGTAGCGCAGTACCGGGTCGCTTGGAGCGTACTGTGCGCCGTTGACGTGCTGGTCAAAGTAGGCCTTCTGTCGTGTACAAGCTGACTCTAGGTGAGTTCGCGCTAGGTTATGCGTGGTCTTCAAGGTTTCCTGCAGCTCTAGGACATAAGCACCTGGCTGGTAGTCGTGGCAGGTTGGGAGCGGAAGCTGGGAGTCCGAGGGTAACTGGAAATGGCCCCCGGTTTGCATGAAGAAGGGGGCGTAGCCAGTCGAGGTATGGACCCTGCATCTATATGCCATCATGGCGTATGGCAGCTGAACATCCCAGTTGTGGGGGTTGTGGTCTTCCGCAAAGGCTTTCAACAGGTTAATAATGGTCCGGTTCGTTCGTTCTACCTGGCCGTTCCCTTCGGGGTGAGCCGGTGTAGTGTGTGTTTTATGGATTTGAAGTAGGTCGCAGACATCGCTCATTAGCCGGCTCTCGAAGTTCGCTCCACAATCAGAGTGTAAGGAGATGGGGGCTCCAAAGCGACAAATCCAAGTGGTGAGAAGAGTGGTAGTGACTGATGCTGCGTCCTGTCGTGGAAGGACGACTGCCTCTGCCCACTTAGTGAAGTAGTCAACCATCACTAATATATAGCAGTTGCCAGTCAAGGTGATGGGTAGGGGTCCGATCACGTCGATGCCCACACGTTCAAATGGGAACCCTGTCGCCATGGGTTGGAGGGGCGCACGGCGTCGGGGGTTGGGTCCTTTAAAAGTGGCACACGTGGGGCAGGTATTACAAAAAATAGAGACTTGCTCTCTGAGGCGTGGCCACCAGAAACGTCTCACTGCAGCCTATGTTTTCACATGACCTACATGGCCGAGTTCGCGGTGCAGATCGTCCAGAATAGGCAGGATTAGGCTGCCGGGAACAACCAATCGAGGTTGACTATTTGCGTCGTCCTTTAAGAAAAGTAGGTCATTTTCCATGAGGAGGTGGGCCCAATGACTTCGTATGGTGCGCGCAGAATCAGGTGAACCACGCAGTTCGGAGTCGGTCGGGCGATGTCTCCCGTTGAGCTAGTGGTCATAAACTATGGCTGTATCGGGGTCTGTGCTTTGAGCGATAGGCCAATGATGGCGGGTTGGCTCACTGATGGTAAGTGCGGTCATGAAATGGAAATCCTCAGTGGGTAGCTTGTAATCCGTGTCTGTGGGGCGGCGAAACATAGCATCCGCGTTGGGGTGTTTCTTCCCTGGACGGAACTGAAAACTAAAATTGAACTGTTGTAGTGCCTCTTGCCATCGCGCAAGCTGACCTTCGGCATCCTTTATTTTCTGCAGCCACTGTAAGGCCTTATGGTCCGAACGGATGATTAAGTGGCGAACAGTAAGGAAAGGTTTGAAATGCTTCACGAACGTTATTAGTGCGAGTAGTTCCCTATGATAAGTGCAATAATTTAGTTGGGGTTTTGTTAGGGTTTTACTAGCGAAGCACACAGGCCTTTCGGTTCCTGTCTCGTCGCACTGGGATAGAACACCGCCTATCGCAAACCCACTGGCGTCAGTATCAAGGATAAATGGGGGAGCGTCGAGTTGCGTGTTGGGTAACATCAAAATGGGAGCTGTTGTAAGCCGTGTTTTAAGCTCATCAAATGCGGTCTGCGATTCCTCTGTCCACTTAAATGTTCGCCCTTTCTCAGTGACGCGGTGCAAGGGGCGCGCTATGTCTGCAAAATGAAGGATGAAACGTCGATAATAGGAGGCTAGGCCAATAAAACCTCTAATCTCGGTTGCCGTCGTTGGAATGGGCCACGTTTTGATGGCATCTATTTTATCCGGGGAAGCGTGTATGCCCGCCGTGCTAACCTCATGTCCGAGGAAGGTCACTTTGTTACGTAAGAACGTGCACTTTTGGGGATTTAAACGGAGTCCAGCGTCGCGAAGTGCGATAGGAACGGCTCTCAGATTTTCGTTATGTTGACTGATGGACTTCCCAAAGACAATGACGTCGTCTAGGTAAATCAAACAGTGGCCTGGATATAAGTGCGCTAATACCGATTGCATTAGCCGTTGGAATGTTGCGGCTGCGTTACAAAGGCCGAAAGGCATAGTTTCGAAATTAAAAAGACCTTGAGGAAGGATGAAGGCTGTTTTTGGTCTATCCCCGGGTTCAACCTCGACCTGCCGGTAACCTGACTTGAGATCGAGTGTATAGAACCACCGTGCCCCCGCAAGTGCATCTAGAGTAACATCAATGCGAGGGAGTGGAAAGGAGTCTCGACTTGTGACAGCATTAAGACGGCGATAATCAATACAAAAGCGTAATTTCCCGTCCCTTTTCGGCACCAAGGTCACTGGAGATGCCCAGGATGAGCGGGAAGGGCGTATCACGCCTGAATCAAGCATCATCTATATCATCTCGTTCACCACCGTCTGAAAATGTGGCGGGATACGTCGTGGGGGTTGCCACTCGGGTTTTGCGTAGCCGGTGTCGATAGCGGTGTCTTACGAGTGTTGAACGCCCCAACAAGCGCTTGTCCCACGCAAAAACGTCTTCGAAGGTTGCCAGAAGGGATTTCAGGCCCATACGGTCTTGTTTGTCGAGTTCAGCATGCTCCGGTAAGATGCTGTCTAGGTTAGTGGGTGGTAGTGCGACAGCAGCGGAAATCGCAGCACAGATCTCGTCTTCCTGGGACGCCAAATTAGCGTGGCAGGGGGGTGTCGACTCTGATCCAAAACGAAGGGTGCGCTCACGAATATTCAGATGGCAATTAAACTTGACAAGAAAGTCGACGCCGAGTAAAATATCCCGAGTAACGTTTGGGCTAACAACAAATGTGTGCTCTTTAGTGCGGGTGGGAACACTAACAGTAACCTAACTAGACCGATTGTAGACATTCGATCTCCGTTTGCTGTCAGGAGGTTAGGTAGTCTTTTGGGTTTAAAAATACCTTCCATGCGAACGGGTGTAAGCACATCAGAGCGAACTAAAGAAACCGTAGCTCCTATGTCAACTAGAGCCCTAACAGGGCGGTTGTCAAAGTGAACCAAAGTAAAGAATGGTAATGTATCAGGCGACGTTGAGCAGCATATAGGAACAGAATGGGTACCGCAATCAGCTTCATCCGAACGGTGTGCTGACGTCGAATTTGGCGGGCGATTCCCAAAACCCTTACGAGACTGGAGCGTATTGTTGTTGGCTGCCCTAGAGAAAACACTTGAACGGGGACCTTCCCCAGGTCGACGAGAGCTGGGGGAAAAAGTTGAGCTCTCAAAAGAGCGATGGTGCACAGGTCCTGGGGGGTTCGGCTCCAACAACCGAGTGGCTCTTTGGATTGCGCTCTCTAGGTCACCCGGGGGGTTCAGACGTAATGAATACGCCACCTCGTCCGAGTCCAGGCCGCATTTGAAATGGTAAAGGACCACCTGGTCTTTGTCAGCTGCCGACAAGGACGGGTAAGCGTCGGAGGCCAAGCGCGCTAGATCAGCCGCGAACTGCTCAGGTGCTTCCCTGAAACGGCGACGACAGTGTATAAGTCGGTGGATCGCATCTTCGATTGCCAAACGAGGCTGGAACAGGCATTGGAGTTGGTTGCACAAGACGTCAAAAGGAGTTGAAACTGACAGCCCGGCGTCGAGGGCCTTATCCAATTGGTCATCTCCTAAATATTTAAAAACTAATCGAGAGCGTTGATCCTGCGGCACCTCATTGGTGTGGAAACGGGACCGCCGTAATCAGCTACGAAAATCGATCCGTCCGTCAAAAGGGCGAAAGGAATTGGGAATGGAGTCAGGGGTAGTCGTAGACGACGAGGGAGGGTGGTTGGGTTCGTTATAGTCGCTGCCACCAATGTTTTGCTCGAGCCACCCAAGGGTACGATCTTGTCTTCTTCTTCTTCTTCTTCTTCTTCTTCTTCTTCTTCTTCTTCTTCTTCTTCTTCTTCTTCTTCTTCTTCTTCTTCTTCTTCTTCTTCTTCTTCTTCTTCTTCTTCTTCTTCTTCTTCTTCTTCTTCTTCTTCTTCTTCTTCTTCGTCTTC